AAAATAATTTTAAAAGAAAAAGGTTAACTTCTGCTGAATAATGTTTGACATAAAAAGATTTTACTAAAACATCAAAAATAATAGGACTTTAAAGCATAGTAAATTAACAACAACCCAAATTCTGAATATTTTATGATTTTCTCAAAAAACATTCGAGGTTAAAAGTAATAAACTGAGCGTGGTAGTGCACGCCTTTAATCCCAGCACTTGTGAAGCAGAGGAAGGTGGATCTCTGTGAATTTGAGGCCAGCCTGGTCTACATAGCGAGCTCCAGACCAGCTGGGGCTACAGGGAGACCCTGTCTCAAAAATAAAAAAAATAAAGGAACAAATTAAAATGGATATTTGAGGGACTAGAAAGATGGCTCAATGGTTAAAAGCACTTCCTGCTTATAGAGGACCCAGTTTCAGTTCCCAGCACTTGCATGGCAGGTAACAATGATTTGTAACTCCAGTTCCAAAGGATCCAACATCCTCTTCTACCTTCCTTGAACACTAGGCACTTATGTTGTATGCATACATACATGCAAGCAAAGCATTCATATATGTAAAATAAAATAAATACATATTTTAAATAAAACACAATAAAAAGAGTTATTTGACAAATTTGTTGTTGTATTTGAGACAAGTATCTTCCTGTAGTCCTAGAAGGCCTGGAACTTGTTATGTAGGCCAGGCTGGTCTTGATCTCACAGAGATCCCCCTGCCTCTGCCTCCCAAGGGCTGGGATTAAGGGTTTGCACCATTGCATCCAATTTATTTGAGGAATTTCAAAACTGCAAAATAAAACCTGCCATCTGTAAATGTATATATTGAACTACCTACATAAAACACCCCTAAACAGGCTGAGATCTCAGCAGACCGTCTGAGAGTGCCCGATCTGGCCTCCCTCTGGCATAGGAGCTGAGAACTCAATAGCCTGCCTGAGAGTGCCTGATGCGGCTTCTGTCTGGAATAGAGGCTGAGAACTCAGCAGACCACCTGAGAGAGCCTGAATCCAGCGTCTGTGGTGAGCTTCCCCAAATAGCACCCATACCCAACCTCTAACTGGGATTATGTGAGGTCTTGCCCACCACCCCAGGGCAGATCTCTGTGCTAGGGTAGGGAAAGACCAAGACTTTAGCAGACAATTGACCATGCTTGATCTGGCCTTCCTCTGGCATAGGAGCTGAGAGCTCAGTTGCCTGCCTGAGAGTGCCTGATCTGGCCTCCACCTGGTATGAAGGCTGAGAACTCAACAGACTGCCTGAGAGTACCAAAATCAGGCCTCCCCTTAGGAAACTTCCCAAATATTTCTCTGAGTACCAGATAGTAGGTGTAAGCCTGAGTGTACTTGACTGGAGCCTGACTTGGGCTTCAGTGGGAGCTCCTGAGTAGCTGATTTGAAGCCATCATTTCCCTCCAAAATAAAATCTGAGAGAATCTGAAACCTAGACCAACCAGCTTTACATAATCAATAAGAAAATGCACACCAATAATACACACGGAAGCAAACTTCAACTCAACATAAGAAGACTTGATTTTCATACCAGAATCATGGACAAAAAGAGAAATTCACATGCCAAAATCACAACAAAAAATAATAAAATGGAAAGTCAAAACACTATGTCCCCACCAAACTCACTAGTCCTGTAGGAGAGTAATATAAGGGGAACCTCCTAGAGATAACCCAACATGCAGAATTTAAAAGAACAATCATAAATAGGATCAAGGAATTCTGAGAACTTAAAGGACACATAAAGAAATCAAATAAATGAAAGAAGACAGGGATAAACTTCTGACTGAATTCACAAAAGAAATAGGAACACTGAAGAAAACTCAAGCTGAAATGAAGAAGGAAGAGAAAAACTCAATAAGCCAACTTGAAACAAAAAGGGAAAGTCTCACTGCTAGAAAGAATGAAGTGGAAAACAGAATATTAACAGTGGAGGATAAAGTTGAAGAATTGGACAACTCAAGTAAGGATTATGAAAAACTTTAAAAACACAGAAATGGGATATGCAGGAGATATTGGACACTATGAAAACACCAAATATACATATCAAAAGCATAGAGGAAGGAGAATTTCAGGTTGATGGTATTGACCAGATTTTAAACAGAATTGTAGAAGAGAATTTCCCCAAATTAAGGAAAGACATCCCCATACAAATACAAGGAGCACATAGAACACCAAATAGACAGGGCCAGAAAAGAAACTTCCCATGGCATGTCATAATAAAAACACTAAATGTACAGACCAAAATGGGAATACTGAAAGTAGCAAAAGAAAAACAAGTTACATATAAAGTAAAACCCGTCAGAATTACAGCTGACTTATAAGTGTAAAGTATGAAAGCCAGAAGAGCCTGGACCAAGGTATTTCCTTTTCTAAACGACCATATATGCCAGCCCAGAATACTTTACCCAGCAACAATAGCTATTATAGTTGAGGGGAAAAGAAAAATCTTCCACGACATGAACAGCCTGAAAGAATACATGTCCACAAAACCAGCCCTTCAAAGAACACTTGAAGCAATACAAAGAACGGAGAAAGGAACAACTTTACCCCACAGGCAATGAAAGAAAATAAATAAAGGTATAACTGAAGAAATACAAACTTAGACAATGTGAACAGTAATCAAAATGATGACAACAAATACACATATTTCAATAATATCTTTAAATACCAATGGACTGAACTCCCCAGTCAAAAGACACAGGTTAAGTGAAGGGATTAAGAAACAAAATTCTTGTTTTTGCTGTCTGCAAAAAACGCATCTCAACATCAAGGACAGGCACTACCTAAATGTGAAAGGATGGAAAAGAATATTTTGGAATATTCAAATTGTGCAAATGGAACTAAGAAACAAGCAAGGGTTACAATTCTGATGTTTGACAAAATAGACTTCAAAATAAAATTAATCAGAAGAGTTAAGGAGAGTCCCTTCATTCTGATCAAAGGAACAGTTAACTAAGAAGATATTACTATCCTGAACATATATGAACTGAACTCTGGTGTGCCCAAATTCATAAAAACATCATTACAGGACTTTAAGACAAATTAACCTCAACTCAATAATGTAAGAGACTTCAATTCCCCACTGTCTCCATTAGACAGGTCAACTGGACAAAGAATAAAGAAAGGGACGTCTGAATTAAATGATGCCATACATCAAATGGACCTAACAGACATCTTTTGAATATTCCAACCAAGCACCAAAGAATACTTTCTACTCAGCACCCCATGGAACTTTTTCAAAAATTGACCGCATACTGGGCTACAAAACAAACCTCAACAATTCAAAAAAAATTGAAATAATTCCATGCATTCTATCAGACCACAATGCAATAAAGCTCAAAATCAACACTTGTAAGAGACCTTAGTCACTACAGGAACTCGTCACGATTAAACAACACATTCCTAAATG